ATTCTTTCACAATGCAGTCATTTTTACTGCTTTTGGGCAATATAGGTATACACTAAGTTTCAGTCTTTCTAGTGTTAAATAAAAGGCTGACATCGAGTGTTTCCATTTGATATTCGATCGATATCAGATTCTATTGCATTTGATTATTCATAACACAAACAAACAGTCTCGTATGAATATGCATCTTATCTGGTGCATAAACCCATACAGGAAGGAAACGGTTTGGCATTATCAGTGCACTCGTAGGCTACGTTCGGTGGCACTTGTCGGTTAAGCCTGGATACTTCATCTCGAGGGTCTCTTGTCATTAACAAATTATAAGGTAGCGAACCGAAGCCGTCGCCATCCTCGAGTATCCAACAATTAACTGTCCCGCTTATCGGCGTAACAACCGAGTTGCTGAACTCCGCCGCGGCCTTGACATTACCAGCGATATCTAACCACCGACCGGATGCCACTTCTACAAGATTATCGGGATTATTTCCTCTCTAGCACAGAAACTCGGAACGATTAACGGATAAGGAGAGGCTCAGCTCTTGATAATGCGGTATTACTATTATCGATATTCGGCGGTCGTAGGTACTAATTGCCGCGGACTTGACTCACATAAGATCCTATCTGATCTTGCTCAAGTGCGATCTCGCTCACGGATTTAAAACACGTACTTAGATTTGTTAATTATCCAAAAATTTGTTATACAAAATAATGAAGAACGTTGAAATTTTTTCGAAGATATTTTGAAATCAGCAATTATGATAGTGACAGTGACTGGCAAACACGTTGTACGCGTATGTACATAATACACGTGTGGTATATCTGTCGAGATCTTTTCAAGGCAGGTTAGCATGGAAACAGTAACACAGATGACTACCATTGGCCCGAGATATGGTCACGCACGTGAGAGATAATCTATTACTTCTTTTCCCTCTGTATACCTTTTTATTTCACGTCGACTTCTTTTCACCCGGCGACGATGCTACTGATAACGAGTCTTACAAACAATTCGATAAAACCGGCTGCCATTATCGATGAGAAATTTTCCAAAAACAGTTTCCGATTTCCTAAAATCGACCAAATTGATTTTATCTACGTTCCCCCTGATTTTAAATAGAAATACACTTCGACTGTTTTTGAGATTTGATCAAATTTGATTAGACATTTTTTCGGGTTCTCTAAAATCTTTTAGACAAATTCTCTCCCACTGCGATGGACTGGCCGATATCGTTTGGGCCTCTTTGACATTACGGTAGTCAAACTAATCTATATAGGATGTTATCGAACAGATAACGTTGCCGGAGCTCCTATCTGGTAGCCATATTTTCGATACAATATATAGGTAATCGATATAGACACGTATAATCCTCAGTAAGAAAGAACACCTATTACGGTTTGGTCGAGCTTTTTAACTCGAGTCGGTGTGTCACTCGTGCGAACCGTTCCCTTCCTGCGACGTCGACCTTTTCACTGTTCGAAAGCATGCAAGCGTCCCCGGTTCCGTGCAACTCTCCTAATTAATAATAGTCTTTCGATCATCGAAACGGACAGAATAATTTATATATAATTGTAAGAAGCTCGAGTTTAATGGACAAGATAGAATTCAGTTGATTTATTGATTAATTTAAAGTGAACGATAATTGTTCGGTAGACTGTCAAGTAGAAAACATTATTTCGAATGAACTCGTCGCCAAAAATCAGCCGCTTTCGAGGTTGAAAGAAAACTTTCGTGCGGACACAGCGAGATTTCTATTCACGTACAGTGCGAAGAGACCGAGGGAGAAAGAGAAAAAAGAGAGCTGGAAAATGGCAAACGGGTACGAGGACTGCTACGATTCATCCTGGCATCTGTTCCCTCCTGATTACGTCGAAGACGAGTACAGGTAAGGGTCAGCTGAGCAATTCGGTTTGAAACGAAACTTATGATGCTTAATGATGTATTGACTATACAGTCAATCTGAAAGGTTTATGTATCTTAGAAAAACGCATTTCTTAT